CAATCAAATGTTATCATAAAAATTATTTTATAGCAATTTTTGAGATGAAATATAAGAACTAGGTATACAACTACTGGATCCACCCAAATGCCCAGATTTAGGAAACAATATGGATAGACTCTAGCTAAAAATCTGGTTGGTAAAAATATCAATTTATTAGGGAAGCAATATAAATCTCTCTTTATATATATATATATATGTGTGTGTGTGTGTGTGTGTGTGTGTGTGTGTGATTAAATTTGTTCCAGCTAACAGTGGGAAGTGGGAGGCAAGATAGTTGAGCTGGAAGCAAGTTAAAATTAACCTGTATATTATAGCTCTGTTAAAGTTACAAAAATGGAAAAGGGATGCTTGCCTCTTAGCTTGTTTTTACAGTGACACAGAATCCAGTGATCTTACCTGGACCTGCCTTTCTTCAGTTTTCCAGGACAAGAAGATGAGTGAAAACAGAAGATACCAAGGAAATGCTGTAGATCCTTAGCAATGGTATCTTTGTCCTGCCTGAAAGGCACTATGGTTAGGTAAAACTAAAACTGCTGTATGTTTGGCAATAGGGCCAGATGTTATGCTATATCAGCAAACTCTACCCAGAGCACAGTTTCTAAGGAATGCATCTGGAGTTCAAGGTAAAATTTTAGCCCTTCTATTTTTAATAGTGATATAACTGTATGTTACATACAGTATCTACTTCTACGAAGACCTACAAGACCTTCTGGAACTAACACCCCAAAAAGATGTCCTTTTCATTATAGGGGATTGGAATGCAAAAGCAGGAAGTCAAGAGAATCTGGCTGCTGTTTCTAAGTTGCTTCAGTTGCGTCCAACTCTGTGCAACCCCATAGATGGCAGCTCACCAGGCTCCCCCCTCCCTGGGATTCTCCAGGCAAGAACACTGGAGTGGGTTGCCATTTCCTTCTCCAATGCATGAAAGTGAAAAGTGAAAGTGAAGTCGCTCACTCTTGTCTGACTCTTAGTGACCCCATGGACTGCAGCCTACCAGGCTCCTCCGTCCATGGGATTTTCCAGGCAAGAGTACTGGAGTGGGGTGCCATTGCCTTCTCCGGAGATACCTGGAGTAACAGGCAAACTTAGCCTTGGGGTACAAAAAGAAGCACGGCAAAGACTAACAGAGTTTTGCAACAGAACGCACTTGTCATATAAAACACCCTCTTCCAACAACAAAAGAGAAGACTTTACAAGTGCATAACACCAGATGATCAATACCAAAATCAGATTGATTATATTCTTTGCAGCCGTAGATGGAGGAGCGCTATACAGTCGGCAGAAGCAAGACCAGGAGCTGACTGTGGCTCAGATCATGAACTCCTTATTGCCAAATTCAGATTTAAATTGAAGAAAGTAAGGAAAATCACTAAGCCATTCAGATATGACCTAAATCAAATCCCTTATAATTATACAGTAGAAGAGACAAACAGATTCAAGGGTTAGATCTGTTAGACAGAATGCCTGAAGAACTATGGATGGAGGTTTGTGACTTTGTACAGGAGGCAGTGATCAAGACCTTCCCCAAGAAAAAGAAATGCAAAAACGCAAAACAGTTGTCTGAGGAGGCCTTACAAATAGCTGTGAAAAGAAGAGAAGTGAAAGGCAAAGGAGAAAAGTCTCCTTATATCTTTTGATATACCCATTTCAATGCAGAATTCCAAAGAATAGTAAGGATACATAAGGAAACCTTCCTCAGTGATCAGTGCAAAGAAATAGAGGAAAACAATAGAATGGGAAAGACTAGAGCTCTCTTCAAGAAAATGAGAGATACCAAGGGAATATTTCATGCAAAGATGGGCACAGTAAAGGACAGAAACAGTATGGCTCTAACAGAAGCAGATTATATTAAGAGGTGGCAAGAATACACAGAAGAGCTATACAAAAAAGATCTTCATGACCCAGATATCCACGATGGTGTGATCACTCACCTAGAGATAGACATCCTGGAATGTGAAGTCAATGGGGCCTTAGGAAGCATCACTATGAACAAACCTAGTGGAGGTGATGGAATTCCAGTTGAGCTATTTCCTTTCCTAAAAGATGATGCTGTGAAAGTGCTGCCCTCAATATGCCAGCAAACTGGGAAAACTCAGCAGTGGCCACAGGACTGGAAAAGTTCAGTTTTCATTCCAATCCCAAAGAAAGGCAATGCCAAAGAATGCTCAAACTACCACACAATGTACTCATCTCACACGCTAGTAAAGTAATGCTCAAAATTCTCCAAGCCGGGCTTCAATAGGACATGAATCATGAACTTCTAGATGTTCAAGCTGAATTTAGAAAAGGCAGAGGAACCAGAGATCAAATTGCCAATGTCCATTGGATCATCGAGAAAGCAAAAGAGTTCCAGAAAAACATTTACTTCTGCTTTATTGACTGTGCCAGATTCTCTGATTGTGTGGATCACAACAAACTGTGGAAAATTCTGAAAGAAATGGAAATACCAGACCACCTTAATTGCCTCCTGAGAAATCTGTATGCAGGTCAAGAAGCAACAGTTAGAATTGGATGTGGAATCACAGACTGGTTCCCAATCGGGAAAGGAGTATGTCAAGGCTGCATATTGTCACCCTGATTATTTAACTTATATGCAGAGTACATCATGAGAAACACTGGGCTGGATGAAGCGCAAGCTGGAATCAAGATTGCCAGGAGAAATATCAATAACCTCAGTTATGCGGATGACACCACCCTTATGGCAGAAAGGGAAGAACAAAAGAGCCCCTTGATGAAATTGAAAAAGGTGAGTTTAAAAGCTGGCTTAAAATTCAACATTCAGAAAACTAACATCATGGCATCTGGTCCCATCACTTCATGGCAAATAGATGTTAAACAATGGAAACAGTGACAAATTTACTTTTTTATGCTCCAAAATCATTGCAGATGGTGATAGCAGCCATGAAATTAAAAGACACTTGCTCCTTGGAAGAAAAGGTATGACCAACCTAGACAGCATAGTAAAAGACAGAGACATTACTTTTCCAATAAAGGTCCATCTAGTCAAAGCTTAGGTTTTTTCAGCAGTCATGTATGGATGTGAGAGTTGGAGTATAAAGAAAGCTGAGCAGAAAGAATTGATGCTTTTGAACTGTGGTGTTGGAGAAGAGTCTTGAGAGTCCCTTGGACTGTAAGGAGATCCAACCAGTTCATCCTAAAGGAAATCAGTCCTGAATATTCATTGGAAGGACTGATGCTAAGGCTGAAACTCCAATATTTAGGCCATCTGATATGAAGAACTGACTCATTGGAAAAGATCCTAATTCTGGGAAAAATTGAAGGCAGGAGGAGAAGGGGCTGGCAGAGATGAGATGGTTGGATGTCATCACCGACTTGATGGACATGAGTTTGAACAGGCTCTGGGAGTTGGTGATGAACAGGGAAACCTGGTGTGCTGCAGTCCATGGGGTGACAAAGAGTCAGACACAACTGAGTGACTAAACTGACTAAACTGTATGTTAGTAACTTACATTCACTAAATCTCTGTTTTCCTATATGAGAAACGTCTAGTGTTTGCAGAGATTATTAGCACTTAGGTATATATCTTATATATATGTAAGTGGTAATTATTTTCTAGATAAATACTCAAACTTATTTTTGCCCTCATAAAAAATGTATGTATATAATACCTATGGCTTATTTCTTTTTATATATGGCAGCAATCAGCACAATATTTTAAAGCAATTTTCCTCCAATTCAAAATAGACAAATTTATATAAATATTGAAGCCTACATCTTTATTTGGATATTTTTCCCTTTGAGAGTCATCTTGCTTTTGCCCTTGTCATTAAACTGGGGGTAAAAAGGGGATATGTAATACAACTCAATGAAACAAACCCAATATTCACTGTATAATCTGTCTTCCTGTTCCTTTGTTGAGTAGGAAATGTAAGACCAGGTGCCTTAGAAAATTGACCAAAATATTGCATTTGTATGATAAAAATGGCCAAACAGTATGACCAAGGAATGGCCAAATCCATTTTCAATTCAAATGTCTGCCGATGCAGGTCCAGTGTATTGGAATAGCAGCTTAATTTTGCCTTGCGCTGCACCAACCTTCCGCTCAGGCCTTGAGTAGTCGCTGTAATTGAATAAGAAAGTGCAATAGCAAAAGAGAGAGTGAAAGGGAGCTTTGGGGAGTTAAATTGGTAATAGACTGAGAGAGCAGGGAAACTGGTAATGGACTAGCAGTCTGAAGCATGGCCCTGGACCTTGCACAAATTGTGACTGAAACTCATTACCACCTGCATGCTGCCCACTGAGCTGTGGGAATGTGTGCTCAGCACTGACACTCTTCCTGCTGGTCACAGGCCCAGTGCAGGAGCTCATCATTGGGGACACTTTTGGCAGCAAACAGAACAAAAATTAAATAAGTAAATAAAAAAGAGGACGGAAAAGAGGCGAGTGCTAGTCTAGTATAAAGAGAGAGCAGCCCTTTGTCCTGGAGATTCTCTCTCTGAATGCTTTGGTTCTCTGCATCCATAGAAACAGGTCAGACATATCCAACCCTTCTAAAAGCAGGAGGGAATTAATTACAAAATGAGAAAAGGTAAATGATTTTTCCCAATATATCTTTTTGAAACTCCTTCATCCTTAATGTATTAGGAGGATTTATAGACCTGTGACTTTAATACAGATGGTAGGCTGGTAAAAGATGACAACCTCAAGAATATTACACAATAATAGATATATTTTAAATTAATAGTATTACAATGATTGAAAAGCTACTGAGATAAAACTTTGCATACATTTCTCATTTAATTTCCTTAACAACACTATTAATTATATAACTTTCAACTCCAGGAGATAGTGAAAGACAGGCAAGCCTGGCATTCTGCAGTCCATGGGGTCGTAGAGTCAGATACGACTTTAGTGACTAAACAACGAACAAAAACAAGCCTCTTTCACAGGAGAGGAAGAGGAGTGTTATATGTTAAATTGTGTCCCCTATAATTCATATGTTGCATCCTTAACCTCTTTAAACAAGGTTAACTTACTTGACTATAAGGTCATTGCAGATGTGATTAGCTAAGACGAGGTCTGGAGTAGAGTCCCGATTGGGGAAATTTGGACATAGACACATGTACAAGGAGAAGACCACGTTGGTTACACAAACCAAGGAATACCAGTAGCTAGGAGAGAAGCCTAGAACAGATCCTTCCTTACTTGAGAGGAAGTATAGTCCTGACAACACCTTGATCTCAGAATTCTAGCTTCCAGAACTGTGAGACAATACATTTCTATTGTTTAAACTTCCAGTTTGTGGTATGTTGTCATGGCAGTTTTAGCAAACTAACTAGGAGTTTGAGAATGATAAAATGCTTTCTCCAATTTTACAGAGCCAATCAGTTGTGGAGTAGGGATTTGGACCAGACCTGTCTGGCTCCAGTTCATTTACTTAGCTCTTATGTTCTTTTTCTTCAAACAAGTGCATAGCCACATTGAAAGAGACTCAAGTGATGTTTGGTCGGACACATCTGATACCTTATTATACTTTACAAATAACATCTATACCAGTGGCTCATCACATTTCTTATTCTATATCATCATAGAGAGCTATCTCTCTGCCTTCCCAAGCAGTACATTTCTACTTGGAATAATCTGTGTTGTTAGAAAGCCATTCACCGTTTTCAAAGCTTCATTCAAATCTTAGCCCCTCTGTGAAGCTTCTTTCAAATAACCACTTACCAGATGCAGAAAAATTAATGAAGCCTTTGGAATTTATATGGTACAATTTTTTATTGTTGTCAGCATAGTTCCTTTCCCCCCTTATCATTCTACTCTAATTTGATGAAGCAAGAAAATTTAATAGCTTAGAATACTTGTTTTCAATGTGTAGCCCCCAGTCAGTGAATGCCCTCTGGGAGCTTGTTAGAAATGTATATTCTCAGCTCCAACCTGAAACCTACTGAATCAGAAAGTATTGATGGGATCCAGTCATTGTCTTTTAATGAGTTCTTCAAGTGATTGTAATAGATACCAAACCTTGTAAGCCACTGGCTTAGGGCATGGACTTCAGTCATGTATAAAGAAGAATGCTAGAACTTAAAATACAGTCTATTGACTGTGTTTGTTCCCAATTTAACTTGTTCCATAATAGCATATATCAGGTAAATTTTGTTTATGATCAGCAAAATATTAATAGAATAAATTGGAATATAGTAACTTGGTAGATTAAAACTTTCTTAAACTAAAAAAAAAAACTATCTGAGCAAAGTGAAAAGATGATGTAAAATGAGTAAATAGAAACCTATATTTAGAAAAATAAAAAAAAAAGCATACTAACTTATTAGCAAAACAAATATCCACAAAGAATACAACTATGTTGTTTCAAAATTGTACTCTTCAAACTAGTTTCAGGAAAAAATTTTGAGGGGAAAATGCATGTCTAGCCTAGTTGGCTAGCATTTCTAAGAAAATGAAAAATATTTTTTCTGTGATTTAGAAACCATGCAACAATATACACATGTACAATTATTAAAGACACACACACACAACATGTTTTATTGATATTGTACCCCTGAAAGAATAAAAAGAGAAAAAAACAAAACCAAATGCTCAAAAAATGGATAACCATAGCAAAAATCCCAAATGTGCCTTCAACACCATCTGGATTCCTTATCTGCTTTCCCTGGTAAGACATTTTTCTACTCCCTACTGACCACTTGGTTTCTCTGATCTCCTTTGCCTTTTTCATTCTCTGCTAATGACCTTATAGACCTTCATAATGACCTTCATAATAGACCTTCATAGAATAACATTTTTATATCACGAAGGAATAACTGCATGTTTTCTCACAAATTTAAAAAACTCCTTCATCTCATTTCATACTTAATACTACATTGTAATAGAAGATATGATTGCACCTGGGTGGCTAAATCTTCAATATTTCATCTAGATCCCATCTACAACTGTCTTTCTGGTCTTATTAGTTGCCCTTCTTATGCCTATTTCTATCTCACTACTGTAACCTTCACAAACACATTGAAAATGCTGTTAATTCTCAAGCTCTAGTTCTTGATTCTCATTCCCTCTTCCTCCCATTTACATCTGGCTTCCTACCTGCTGAAACTTGCTATATCCACAAATGACCTAGTTGCTGAATCAAATACAGTTTTTTTTTAGTTTTTAATTTTACATTAATTTTGAAGTACACATTGTCAGTTGCCTATAAAGCATCTATTATTCTTGTCTTCCTTACTGACAGAATCTAGGCACATAACCCTTTACCACTAAGTCACATACACTCGAAGCTACCTGACCTATTTTCAATACCATCATGATTGATCTAAAAGTATTTCCATTTCTCTTGCCCATGCAGAAATGAGCAGGTGACCCAGTCATACTGGAACATAAAGAGATGTGGGGAAAGGTCTCAAAAAGGGAAAGCTCTCTTTTAAGGGATGTGAACTCATATAACTCTGTTTTCCAATGGCAAGAGAGAAGCTAGCCATAAGACAAAATTTGCACTGTGGACAGCAGAGCCAAGATTTAGAGAAATCATGCTCCTTTACGCCATCTTGAGATACTGGATCAATCAACAATAGTGTGGATAAGATGGAATCCAACACAATTCTTGTTGGCTTAAGCCAAACGTCTCTAGTTTAGATACACTAGTATCTAAAACATCCCTATGAATACACTGCTCAACACCATGACAGTCTGCTTTTTATAAAATTTCTGTGCTATTTCTCCTAACTCTTTGGCTACTTCCCCACATTCTACGTTTCATGATTTTGCTTCTCTTTCTGCCATAATTTTGAATGGCCCTGAAGCATCCTCTCCTATGCTCCAATAGTACAGAGCTATTAGCCTGTCTCTGAATTTGAAATAGATTTGACTTTGCATGATTATTATTATTTTTTAAGTAGGAGGTCTCTTCCACATCCTCCACATCTTGACTACAAAGACTCTATATGTTTGTTCTTTAAGTCATGTCTTAAATATCAGGTACTTTGACAGTCTTTTATTTCTCACACCCCACTCTATTTTAGAGTTCCTGCTTTGATCCCTCATACATTCCTCCACTTTTCCTTTATAGCACTTGTCTCAATTTGTTATTTAAATCTTCATAACACCAGTTGATGAAACTTTCAAATAGAAAAACAAAATTAGGTGATATCACAGATAAATACAGATGCAAATATTAAATACCATGATGACAAATTAAATATGTTTATACAGTAAAGAAAATGATAGAGCTTTATGCTGAAGCATAAAGAGCATTTGATATTATGAAAATAATAATAATAATCATGCAATTGAGAAGAAATATACTATTCATTGATTCTATTATTAAATAACATTTTTCATTAAAAAATGCTTGCCATGTATTCTTTCTGAATTAATCTTTGATTTTGATACAGTAATTATTAAAATGGCAAATATATTGTTTAACATTTTTGACAATCAGTTCAGTTCAGATCAGTTCAGTCACTCAGTCATGTCTGACTCTTTTTAACCCCATAGGCTGCAGCAGACCAGATTTTCCTGTCCATCACCAACTCCCAGATTTTACTCAAACTCATGTTCATTGACTCAATGATGCCATCCAACCATCTTATTCTCTGTCATTGCTTTCTCATTCCACCTTCAATCATTCCTAGCATCAGGGTCTTTTCAAATGAGTCAGCTCTTTGCATCAGGTAGCCAAAGTATTGGAGTTTCAGCTTCAGCATCAGTCCTTCCAAAGAATATTCAGGACTCATTTCCTTTAGGATGGATTGGTTGGATCTCCTTGCAGTCCAAGGGACTCTCAAGAGTCTTCTTCAACACCACAGTTCAAAAGCATCAATTCTTTCTGCTCAGCTTTCCTTATACTCCAACTGTCACATCCATACATGACTGCTGAAAAGACCAAAGCTTTGACTAGATGGACCTTTATTGGAAAATTAATGTCTCTGTCTTTTACTATGCTGTCTAGGTTGGTCATACCTTTTCTTCCAAGGAGCAAGTGTCTTTTAATTTCATGGCTGCTATCACCATCTGCAGTGACTTTGGAGCTCAAAAAAAAAAAAAAAAAAAAAAGTCTGTCACTGTTTCCATTGTTTCAACATCTATTTGCCAAGAAATGATGGGACCAGATGCCATGATCTTAATTTTCTGAATTTTGAATCTTAAACCAACCTTTTTACTCTCCTTTTTCAGTTTCATCAGGAGGCACTTTAGTTAATCTTTGCTTTCTGTTGGGGGTGGTGTCATCGCATAACTGAGGTTATTAATATTTCTCCCAGCAATTTTGATTCCAGCTTGTGCTTCATTCAGCCCAGCGTTTTGCATGATGTACTCTGTGTATAAGTTAAATAAGCAGGGTGACAATATGCAGCCTTAACATAATCCTTTCCCGATTGGGAACCAGTCATTTGTTCCATGTCCAGTTCTGACTGTTGCTTCTTGACCTGCATACAGAGTTCTCAGGAGGCAGATAAGGTGGTCTGGTATTCCCATCTCTTTCAGAATTTTCCACAGTTTGTTGTGATCCACATAGTCAAAGGATTTGCCATAGTCAATAAAGCAGAAGTAGATGATTTTCTGGAACTCTCCTGCTTTCTCAATGATCCAAAAGATGTTGGCAAATTTGATCTCTGGTTCCTCTGTCTCCTCTAAATCCAGCTTGAACATCGCGAAGTTCACAGTTTATGTACTGTTGAAGCCTGGATTGGAGAATTTTGAGCATTGCTTTGCTACTGTGTGGGATGAGTGCAATCGTGCAGTAGTTTGAGCATTCTTTGGCATTGCCTTTCTTTGGGATTGGAATGAAAGCTGACCTTTTCCAGTCCTGTGGCCACTGCTGAGTTTTCCCAGTTTGCTGGCATATTGAGGGCGGCACTTTCACAGCATCATCTTTTAGGAAAGGAAATAGCTCAACTGGAATTCCATCACCTCCACTAGCTTTGTTCATAGTGATGCTTCCTAAGGCCCACGTGACTTCACATTCCAAGATGTCTAGTTCTAGGTGAGTGATCACACCATCGTGGATATCTGGGTCATGAAGATCTTTTTGTACAGCTCTTCTGTGTATTCTTGCCACCTCTTCTTAATATCTTTTGCTTCTGTTACAGCCATACTGTTTCTATCCTTTACTGTGCCTATCTTTGCATGAAATATTCCCTTGGTATCATTGTCTTGAAGAGAGCTCTAGTCTTTCCCATTCTATTGTTTTCCTCTATTTCTTTGCACTGATC